GTGCCACTGGCAGTGCCTCAGTTGCCACTGCCTTTTGTTTACATTCCGTTTCGTTTTTCGCCTGAAATGAGCTCTAAATGACAAGGCGAGCAGACGGCGCACAGGACAAGGGCGCCCAGGACGCAAAAGACACAAAATGCGACAAACTGTGCCAAGCAATTTTCAGCTCGAATCGTTTGTGTTCATAGTTTTTACGTGTGCCTGGGTGTGTGTGTCTGCGTGCGGTAATTTGCAGCAAGTGTCGCACAAAACGCATTTTGCAGTTGTTGCATTAAGCCAGCCATGAGGCAGTCCCAGCCCGGCCCAAGCGATTACGGTATTATCATAGTCATAATCATAAAAACATATTGCAATTTGAAATGAAAGGAGGCGCATGGCGGAAGGAAGAGCAAATTAAGAGAGCTGTGCTGGGCTTTGGAGACCGAAGCGAATAGGGAATGCTCTGCAGTGGTTAGATTGGAATATGAAAATAACTCATTTTAATAGGATTTTCTCGGCTAAGCAATCAAACTGATCGATCCACTCTCAGGGTGTTAGAATATCATTTATCCTGAGCCGCTCCGTGAAGCTCTTGCAGCCTTGCTGCTCGCCGGCAGCGTCATTTAAACACTTCAGCTCCAGCATCCTCGTGGCAAGTGTCGCTTACCATTTTGTTGTTGTGCCACGGGGGGGTTATTCTTTTTTATGCCTTCGCTATCTGGCTGCCGGATATAAAAGCAACAACAGATTGCATAGCAATAAACGAGGCTGTCGACATGTACACACACATATGAGCGTGTGCAACCACAGGGGTGTGCGCATGTATGTGCTGCTGCCACAAAAGACAACGCTAAGTGGCCTGGGGCGCAATTTTTGCCATTGGTGCTCGTTAAATTTGCATGTGCATGCTGACACACATGTGTGTGAGGAAAGGATGTTTGAGTTTTTCAGTTTTGTGTGTATGGGTGACGCAACAGTCTCCGAGAACGATTTGCGGTCTTCAGCAGTCTTGGAAAGGCTTTGCCTTGCTCACTACTCGCGACAACCTTCATTGGGCATGCAGCAAACGTGTCAAGGACATGTCTGATGCACCCACCGACAACCCACCACCCAGCCAACATCTACAGCCCACCTCGAGACACACGATGAAAAAAAGTGTGAACTGTGCATGCCTTTCTTCAAAGAATATGTCTTTGCAGACAATATATGATTTCTTTTTCTAAATTATTTGAAGATCCTTTAATATCCTTATAACACTTTCAGTATTTCCTTTTTTTCTCTCTGTGCAAGCTGAAATTGAAATTGCCCATGCGAGGCAGACAATTGAGGGCGTCGCTGCCCCAAATTATTCATCACGTTGTGCGTCTCTAATATTTATTTAAAATTTCACTTTGATTAAAATGCGCGTGCCAAGTAGTTCCCTGGGACTAGACAAAAAATCCAAAATGTTAATCTAGAATCTAGATCATGGATCCTAGGCAAATTAAACAGAAGCCTGAGGAAAGCTGAAAATTAAAGAGACACCGAAAGTAGGCGATAGAGCTAAAGTAAAGAGTCCGAACGGTTTGTAATTAAAACTTGCCTGCCGCACTTGCACAAGTTGATTATGCGGCGTTCAGCCTTCTATTCCCTGGCCCGCCTAAGCCCCTCATTTTACCCCTCCCCGCATTGGCCACCCGAGAATGCTGTCAAATTCATAATCTGCGGCCTGGGCTTGGGCACAAAAGAATGCCATTGCCGTTGACAGTTTTTGACGCTCCAGAATTCCAAACCAGCATCGTACCTTGGGTTTGGGCCAACCAGTGGGTTGGCTGGGATTATGGCTGCAGCCCTCAAAGGCTTTGGTGATGCGGATATTAGCGCATGATTGGAAGCCGCTAACCAAAATTGCATGGTCTTTGTGCAGGCAATTAACACGAGGCCACAGGGCCCGGAATAAGGATCATCTTTTGCACTGGACCCTGCTAGCCAAAAAAAAAGAAGCTCCGCTTCAAGTGCCAATCAAATTTGGGACTTCCATTATTTTTCCTGATGAATCTTGCAGGCCCTTTTGTTGGCTTGATTAAATTACTTTTCTTTATTTGCCAAATAAAAGCAGAAAAAAAAGGGTAGAGCACCAGGATACCAGGAACCCGGTAGCCGACCAGGCCAACGGCTGGCTTACACATTTAATAAGTTTATTAAAAGGCAAAAAGCAAGAATGGCGAAAGGCGAAAGCGGGTTATTATGGCAACAAGCGCGAGCAGACACAACGGGCTAAATCTTATCTAACAAGGTGGTAGCAAGCCACTCAAATCGCAATCCCTTTTTTATTGCCCTCCCTTAGGTTGCGCAGGTGGGCGAAAGTTGCGCGACATAATTGCTGATTTAAGGCGCTGCTTTCTGCTCCCCCACGCCACACCTCGTACTTCAAACTTTCTGCCATCCTCTGGGCCCCCTTTTTCAGCCATTCAAGCAAACACATTGCTTACATATTTCACTTGCTGAGCGCACGCCAAGAATGCCAACAACTTTGAGTTGCAAACATGGCCAACAGCTATAGCTGTGTAGTTGAAAAACACGGTACACTTTCCTCCGACCCCGGAACTTGTGTCATTCCTGTGGCAACCTCGATTCGGTTTTAAGTCCAAGCCCATGCTCGTTGCAAGATGATGTGGGCAATAAAGGACGCAATGCAACAGAAACCTCACAAAGCCAAAAACTGTTTCAGTCAAATATACTGTCTCTTTAAAGAAAGTGCTTCCTAAGTTTTTTCTCCGTGTAGCCAGCTTTAAGTTTCCATGGAAGCCGGAAACTGCCCCCCCACACTCCACCACCTACTTCCTTCCCCGACCCCGCCAGATCAACGCTTTGATCTTACAGCTTTCTGCTGCCTTGTGTTTTTATTTTTGCGGTCAACTGAGAAGTCTGAGACCGAGGTGCAGAGGCGAGACAGGTGCCGGAAGGACTCGGGCAGGTCCTGGCTGGAGTATCCTGCTCGGTGGTCAACTAGACAAAGGCTTACGGTCCTTAAGCGGGATTATTACTTCACGTGTTGTGTGGCAAGCAAGCTTCTGTGCCACTGGGAACTGTCGAGTGGATACTGGGAGTTGGTAAAATGTTCTTACGACATAGTTATGGTCAACTGGAGCTTGGGGAGTAGAGTTTGGTATTTTGTGTCCCAACATGGCAGACATAACCGAAAGCCCATCGAATAAATCGCTAAATTGTTATTAAATCGTAAGTGTATATAGGGATTATCAGGCATTAAGCAAAAACTGCTCCAATTGAAAACTGAAACTAACTTAATATATTGCCAAAGCCACAGGTGATTGTGTAATCCCTCAAATCCTAACCTGTGAATACCTGCTAATTGTAATGACTTTTTTGGCAACCCTCTGCGGGACTCAACCAATTTCAGAATCTGAGCACTTTCTGGTGAGAATTTCACGCAATCAAACCGCTTAACCCGCACACTCCCGCTGAGGATGGCCCCCAATTAGCATAGAAATTGGGGCCGGGGCTTTTGATTTGGGTCTGGCTCCGTGGGTCTTAGTTTTGGCGTTTTCCGGGCCAACAAAAAAAGCAACGAGGGCGACAAGAGTCTGACACCTGTCAGCCGGGATTGTCGCATGTGTTGATGGATTAAGGAACAAGCATTCTTAAAAGGATGCCATCAACTGCGGCTTGTGTTTTGGGAATTAAATGAAAACAAATTGTCTCAACTAATTCAGTTTCCGCTCAATCAACGTGCCAGCAGCAGAAGTGCTTCCGGGCTTCCAGGATGCAGCAAGACTGCAACGTGCAACACTTGCAACTTGCAACTTGGCGGATAACTCAATTGTCTCTTGTGGAATTTGCCTAGCGCCGCTTCCAAAGAGCCAGCATCTCCACAAGTTTGTCCTATCGATTTGTTTGAAATTATATTTGAAAAGTTGAAACTTAATTTTACCCGGCCGTGCCCCGCTGCCGCCGTCAAAAAACACTCTGACGTTGTTTGCAGCAACAATAACAAGTAACCAGAGCAACTTCGGCCAACTGGATGCCTCCGGCCAAATGCAACAGTCAAGAAGTTGGCAGCCTCTGGCCTTTGAGTGACCTCAGCGGAAGAAAGTTTGCCTTCCTGTGAATAAGAGTATTTAGTTTTAAATAACATTGAGATGAAGGTAGGATGCTTTGGTCGAAAAACTTATTACTCTGGAAGAGACTACACCTTAAGAAAGGCTTTCGGTTCTGATATAATTCAATTAATATTTCGAGAGTGCTGGCCTAATTTAATCAAAGGACGTCATACAATATCCCTGGATGAATAAATTAACAATATTAGGTTTCAAATTTGTGATACAATGTCCTGGCATTTCGTAAGTTACCATGCTCTGCTTTTCCAGGGTAAAGTAGGGTCGGAAAATCATTGAATGCCACGGCAGACAAGAGATGGGGAAATAGTGAAGACGGCGACAAGAAAACTCAAGTGGCAGCGGCATAAGCAAATCATGCCATAACATAATGAGGCAACATAACAGGCTCGAGGGACGGAGGGCAATGGGGCAGGAAGCAACTGCCACAAGCAAATTGCAGCGCCAGTCGCCGGTTGCCAGTTAACGGTTGCAAAATTAGTTTAAACTTGGCGGAAGTCAAGACGACCACCAAGACGGACACTGGAAAAGATTCATAATTTCGTTATTAAAATATTAACTAAAAAAATTGAAAGGTTACTTTATAAAGGAAGTCTTCCTTCTGTAGGAGATCCCATCCCAAACATAAAACCAAAACCAAACGGTTTTTCTGCCAATACTTTTTCTCACTGTAGTTACAAGTCTAAAAGCTCCTTTTGTTGCCTCTTTCAGATGCTGCACCTGACCGGAGACCGGAGACAAGTCCTGGCAGTCCGAAGAGGCAATGTAAGCAGCACAGGACAAACGCCGACGACACAACACTAAGGAGGAGAACAACTTGAAATTAGCATAAAGACCGCAAGTATCTAGGGGCCAGGAAGAAAGGACGAGAGCCAGTGGGCAGAGGGGAGACTGCAGACTGGAGACTGGAGAGCGGTGAGCGGTGAGCGGAACGAGATGCGGTCGGTAAACAAGTCAGCGAGTGGGGAGGAGGAGCTGACTGGCCTCAATGGCAACTCCAGTGACCCCATCTATGCCATTAAGGGCAAGTGGATGACCGACTGGTAAGACTTCTCTCGGAAACCTCTTTAGTTCACCACAAAATTAATAAATAATTTCCCAACAGGAGCCTGCGTCGGGAACGTGAAAAGCTTTGTAGTTTTCTGTTTAAAAGCATTGTGACCGAGGGCGATTGCAAGCGCCTCCTGGAGGCGGCCAAGATCTATGGCGAGAGCAGTGACTTCAGCTCCTGGACAGCCAATGATCAGTTGCAGTGGTATCGCAACTACAATCTCAACAACACCAATGTCCTGGGACTAAGGAATCAAACCTCCGGCACTGCTAGCATCGTCACACAATCCGATTCCGATTCGGAGATCCTAGGCCCCGTTTTGCCGCCCTTTGCCCTCTGGCAAACCATACTGATAGCCATCTGCCTGGCGGCCTGCATTATCCTGACCGTGGGCGGCAATATCCTGGTGCTGTTGGCCTTTATTGTGGACCGTAACATCAGACAGCCCAGCAACTACTTTATCGCCTCGCTGGCGGCCACGGATATGCTGATAGGTAATTGAATTTATTTTAAGGATAAAGATTATATTTTAAATAATTATGTGCTCTTTCCAGGAACCGTTTCCATGCCCTTTTACACGATCTACGTGCTGAAGGGCTACTGGGACCTGGGCCCTGTCCTGTGTGATCTGTGGCTCTCCGTGGACTATACGGTCTGTTTGGTCTCCCAGTACACGGTGCTGCTGATCACCATCGATCGTTATTGCTCCGTGAAGATTGCCGCTAAGTACCGAAGCTGGCGAACCCGAACGCGGGTTATCTACATGGTCACGATTACCTGGATCATTCCCGCCCTGCTCTTCTTCATCTCGATCTTTGGATGGGAGCACTTTACGGGCAAGAGGGACTTACTGCCAGGCCAGTGTGCTGTGCAATTCCTAAAGGATCCCATCTTCAATACGGCCCTCATCATCGGCTACTACTGGACCACCCTGATAGTCCTGTTCGTGCTCTACGCCGGCATCTACAAGACGGCCTACGATATGCAAAAGAGAAGTGAGGCCAAGCAACGCAAGATGCAGTCCATGGTGGCTCTCAGTGCCGGCGCGATGTCGGGAATGGCGGGGCATGCCGCCGGCATCGGAGTGATCGAGGAGAAGATTCTGAAGACAAAGGTCGAGTTGGCGGGCGGCGATCAGGCCGACCTCGACAGCGCCTGCACGAGTGTGATTAAGCGGTTGAGTGGCTCCGGCCAGGCGAATCCTTTGGCCGCGATAGCACCGACCACCGAGGAGGTGGAGAAGATGACCCCTGAGCAGAGAAGAGCCTCGGCGGCCAAGATTCAGGAGGAGGCCCGCAAGCGCGACGCGGCCGTGGAGGCGGAGAAGAGCGAGCGATCGAGCAGTCCGGCCTTCGACTCCGATGAGGAGTCCTCCGTCAACCAAGCCCAGCAGCTGATCACCCAGCAGAAGCTGAACAACATGCGGAAGAGGTCATCGATTGGGCTGGTTTTCGGAGCACAGGCCGCCCTGTTGGCCACCCGGGGGAAAGGTAACTTGCAGAAGAGCACCACGAACTCCAAGTCCATCGAGGCTATGCACCAGTATCATCACCATCAGCACCACCACCAAAACCCTATTCAGCGAGCCCAGAGCAAGGAGGAGGTGCGCTCCCAGCACCACCACCACCAAAGCCAGAATTCCAATCCGAACCAGAACCAGAACAAGCGCACTTCCTGCTCAACCCTGACCCAGATAGCCGAACACGACCGCCTCGTAAATCCGATCGGTGATCCTCTGTCCCCAGTTGATCTGGCCCCACTCGAAGTGCCCAGTGATGAAGTTCATCCCGGCCTGGTCCAGACCATCCTGCCGCCCCCCGACGCCTTTCAGTGCCCAACCCCCCTTTCAGAAGACTACTCCGACCGTCCCTTCGGTAATAGCTCTGGCAACAGCGAGCTAGCCCTAACCTACGACCTGATGACCAACTCGGAGCTGCGGTACATGGACGAGAGCTCTGCCATGCTGGCCACCACATCCTCGCTCAATGAAAGTGTGTTGGGAAAACCACCGTCACAACCACCACCAGTCCTGCCTCCACCACCGCCCGCACGCAGAAACCCACCAGCGAAACAGAATCCAAGTCAAACTCCCACCCAAAGCCATGGCAGTCCCAGCCAAAGCCAAAGTCAAAGCCAAAGCCATAGCCAGAGCCAGAGCCTAAGCCTGGGCCTCAACTTGAACCCCAATCACAACCAGAGCATGGAGGAGGCAGTGGCCATTGAAAAACGTCTTCTCGTATCATACACAGGCATAGAGGACTTTGCCAAAGTGCGGCGGGAGAGCTGCATCGAGGCCATCTGCCTGCTGGACGTTCCCGGAAAGCTGGTGGTGGACTGTCCCCACAGAAGAGCCTCCAGTCCGATGGAGACGAGCAGCAAGGACGCCATCCTTTACTCTCCAATGCCACCGCCTCCTCTTTCACCTAAGGTGAAGACACAGCAAACACCACAGTCGGGTACGCCAGTGCTGGCGCCCACTCTGGAAAGGATCGAGGAGCGGGAGACCTCGGACAGCAATACCAATAAGATGCCCTCCACATCGGGCACCACAAGCAGTACGGGAGGCGGTGGCGGCGTCCTAAAGAAGGACGCGGACGAGGAAGAAAACCAGCGGGAGGAGAAGGGGCTGTCAGCCAGCAGGAGCTCCAGCAAGAGGGCCTTCATCCATTCCATCGGAAAGCACTTCAAGAGCAAGAAAGCCTTGCCCCTGATCATAGGAGTGGGCGGACGGCAAAAGTCCAAGTCAGAGAATCGTGCCCGCAAAGCGTTCCGCACGATATCGTTCATTTTGGGCTGCTTCGTGGCCTGCTGGACGCCGTATCACGTCCTGGCCCTGGTGGAGGGATTTTGCCGGAATCCGCCGTGCACCAACGAGCACCTATACATGTTCTCGTACTTCCTCTGCTACGCCAACAGCCCCATGAATCCCTTCTGCTATGCGCTGGCCAACCAGCAGTTCAAGAAGACCTTCACCCGGATCCTCAAGGGGGATCTGCACATGACCTAAGCTGGTTTTTGTAGGATATGCGATAGTCTAGTTGTTGGCGGTAAAGTCTGGGACTCCGTTTGGCATTTTGCTTTCCGCGCCGTACCCTACCGGACCAGTCCCTTGAGAGCCCCTAGGGCCTGGTCCTGAAACCCCACCCAGAAACAAATACAAACCCTAGGCCTGTAAGTTTTCTAGTAAAGAACCCGAGGAAAGTGATCCGCCAGGTGGAAGTCCCGAATAGCTTTATCCGCCCATTAAGTCAGAGTAAGGCAGGACACTTGATAAATTCTAAATTTAATCGGTGTAGGATGGAGAGCGTAATTTGTAAGTAGCCAAAGGTGTGTGCTATAGTTAGAATTGTTTTGGGGGGAAACCGGTTGGGAAACGGATATCTAGGTCTACTGTGGCAGTAAGCGGGGAGAAATGTTTTAGACAATAAATATTTTAATGTTAATTAACACTCTACGCTAATCTTATCAAAATATAAAATATAATAGTGGCTAATATACTATGAAATAATTTAGAATCTAAGTATGAAGGCAGTACACAAGACTAGAAGCCCCAGTATCAAATCGACCCATACATATCCCCATAAAGAAATGCATTTTCTATTGCTCTGCAGAAAATACATACAATATGACAGGCATAAGAATAGAAAGGATATTCCTTTAAGGGATTTTCTTTTTGAAGAGTCCTTCAACGGTAATAATTCGTCGATTAGTCTATAGAATCTATAGTATAGGTAGCCCCACTCATGATTCTGGTCGCTGTTTTATAGAATTTCGATACTATTTTCACTAAAAATACGAAAAATTAAAGCTGTGTTCAACTCCATTGACGAACTATTGCCGTTCTAGGGCTGGAAATCAATTCGATGTCGGTCCCCTTCATCAGATATACGATTTTATAATTACAAAGCAGCAAACCCCAGCAAACATACCCTCGTAATTGTCTATGGATATTTATGCCAGGCAAGTTCAGCAATTTTGTGTAAATATTCATGAGTATTGTGAGGGCTTGCCCCGGGCATAAAAACATAAAAGATATAGCTACATAGATGTCAATTTTTGCGCAAGCCAGAAACTATACCGTACGTACATGTAGAATTCTCTTTCGCGCCTTTGCCAAGTTGCCTAACTGATTTGAAAAAGTCTCATTCTGAAACCAGTTCTCTTTGTTGTCCTTTGTTGACTCGTTAACCGATTTGTTACCGTTACCGTTTTGCTAACCGATTCGTTTTCCAGTGAGTAATGTGCTAAACAAGTTATGCCTTTGTTGAACTTTGTTTCCTTTTAGCACGTAAGTGATAAGTGTAACAATAACTAACTTATTACAAAATAAATACATAATGAGTAATGGAATTTATTTTCGGAAATGGGAGTAAGGTAAGTCCTTTTTTAGCTTAATTATTCTTGAAAGATTTTCAAAAAATATGTGATTTCAAACCTCCATTTTCGGTTTTAAATCAGAACATTCCAGACTGGGAATTGCCAGCCCTGGACGCAGCTAACTTTGAAACTAAATTCAAATTTAAATTTAAAAACAAAGTCAAGTTTCGATGAACGCGCGTAGTCCACGATCCGCACTCGAGGCGCACGGTAGTGTTCCCCCTTCGATTCCAGCTCACTAGTCCCGCTGCAAAGCCCATAATTCTTAACCCACTTCCGCCGAAGTCGACCAAAGTCCGCTTAAATTAGAATACCTGGTGCACTTTTTGGTGACCCCCTTCAACATGGAGATAGTTCTTCGGTTTTTGGCGTTTTTCCTCAATGCCTTTGGGATTCTAGTGAACAAGATTCTGGATCTGGTGTTATCCCGAAAGAGGCCCCAGTTTCAGGGCATCCGAAACCCCCTGCTTAACAAGTCTGTCACCGAACTGGTCACCCATTTGCGACGTGGCGAGGTGAGTTGCAAATCGGAAATTACGTCATTCCTCCGGAGCCATTTGCAAAGTCATGACTGACGAGTCGCTTGCAGATTTCGTCCGTGGATCTTACCAGTGCCTACATAGCCCGAATCAAGGAGGTGAATCCCACACTAAATGCTGTGGTGGAAGAGCGCTTCGAGGCTGCTTTGCAGGATGCCCGGCTGGCGGACGACTTTATTGCCAAGGCGAGGTCAGACTTCGATCGGATTGCTCTGTACACGAAGTATCCGATCCTGGGGGTGCCGTTTACGGTCAAGGAATCCTGCGGCCTTAAAGGTGACCTTTTTACTTAGCCCTGGGCATTCACTAATTATTGGGATTTTACAGGTTTGTCCTACTCCGTGGGCAGTCTCATTCGCAAGGACATGAAGGCTCCACAGGATGGTGATGTGGTGGAGCTGGTCCGTGCCGCTGGTGGTATTCCTCTTTTGGTATCCGCCAACCCTGAGTTCTGCATGAGTTTTGAAACCAGCAATAACATCCATGGCCGCTGCCTTAATCCCTATGACCTGCGACGTACTACGGCAGGATCCTCTGGTGGCGAGGCGGCCCTAAATGCTGTGGGAGCCACCCCTTTCGGAGTGGCTTCCGATATCAGCGGCTCTATCCGACTGCCGGCAATGTTTTGCGGCGTCTTTGGCCACAAGCCTACTGGGGGCTTGACCTCAACCAAGGGCCACTTTCCCTATTCTCTGACGGATCCGCAGTTCCCCAGGATGCTGCAGATGGGTCCGATCACGAGATTTGCACGAGACATGCCTATTCTCTTGCAAATAATGGCGGGCACCAATGCACACAAGCTTAAAATCGATGAGCCGGTTCTTCTGAAGGATATGAAGGTAGGTCTTCTTTAACAAAACTTTTTCCCACTAAGAAGTACCTTTTTTTAGATCTTCTATGCTTACGGCTTCTCGGGACTCAATTGTTTCACGCATCCTGTGGTGGACTTCGATATTAAATTGGCCATCACAAAAGCCGTCAAATGCCTTGAAAAAGGTGGTGTTCAGGCCAAAAAGGTGACTATTTAATCAGAGCTATATATTATTTTAATTTTAACTTCCCTCTTCAGCTGGATCTCAAGTTCTTTGGCAACAGCTTGGAAATGGCTTTGGTGTCCCTAGTCGACCTGAAGGGCTTGCCTAGCATCGTGACCCAACGACATGATAGGGATCCCTCAATGCGGCTTCTGATGGTGGAGATGTTCAACAGCGCCATCGGGCACTCGATCTTCACAAAGGAGGCCATGTTCCTAGAGGTGATGAAGCGCTTCAATGGCCTGATGGCGAGCGGTAATATGGAGCGGTATCGGGAAGAGGTCAAAAAGTTAAAGACCCATTTAAATGTAAGTAAATGGCTGTCGAGATGTGCGTTGGGTTGACCCTACAATTCTTTTTCTAGCAACTGCTGGGCACCCATGGAGTCCTCATCCTGCCCACCTTCCATACCAGCGCCCTTTGCTTCCACACCTCGTTGGTGAACGTGACGGGTATTGACCAGATGCTCCTCTTCAACATCCTCGGGCTGCCCGCCACACATGTTCCCATGGGACTGAACCAACGGGGCATGCCCGTCGGCATTCAGGTGGTTGCCGCACAGTACCAGGACAAGCTTTGCCTGAAAGTCGCCGCCGAGCTGGAGGCAGTCTTCCAAGGCTGGGTGCCACCGGTCCCACATGCCACAGAGAACAGCAAATGAAGTTAAGGTTAAGGTTCATGGTTGGATTATTACAGATGTTCTAATAGAGTTTAAGGTGAAAATTTTTAAAATATGGCGGCGCAGTATCATCATTTCTGTTAGGTGTATATTAATTACACAGCTCAATACGCAATAATGTTAAATTCTTTTCCGTTTAGAAAATAAAGTTTGTCATAGCCATTTTATCATATATTAACTTTTAATTTAGACTTTTCGTCATAAAGAAGGAGCACATATATTGATTATTGAATATTATAATGAATAGTGATTCATTTTAATTGATTTTGATTTTGCAAATTGATTTTTTAGCTCATCAAAATTCAAATTTGCCCGCTTAAAACTATGTTAATTTTAAAAATTCCCCGTCTGACCGTATCTTTGAACTTTTGTTCGTGGTATTTTAGTACACTTTTGGTATATTGGATTCTTTATCGTTATCGGTAAATGTTATCGATAAGCCGCGGTCACACTGAACCTCTCAGCTGTTTCTTACTTTAACTAATTTGTATTTATTTGGCCATTTTTGTTTATTGAAAAAAAGAAATCACAGTTTAGACAGACTCCGTCCAAACTCCTCGTCTTCCACACCCAAAAAAGTATATACTAAACTTACCCATATTTTGAACTGCTTAATGTCCGGTTAATTCCTTTTTTGACAGTACAAATTAATATGTTTTTGTTTATGCTTTTAGCTTGTTCGAAAAAATGGCCGAGATAAAGGAAGTGGTCGTAGTTGTAAAGTGGAGTGGAAAGGAGTACCCGGTGGACCTCACTGACCAAGACACCGTGGAGATGCTGCGCCACGAGATTTACCGTAAGACTCAGGTCCGGCCAGAGCGGCAAAAGCTACTTAATCTGAAATACAAAGGTAAATCCCCTTAAATGTAAGCGAGAACCTATTCGAAGAACCTATTTCTTTTAGGAAAGACGGCTGCTGACAATATAAAGATAAGCGCCCTTGAGTTGAAACCGAACTTTAAGCTCATGATGGTTGGCTCTACGGAGGCGGACATCGAAGACGCATGCAGTCTGCCTGACGACGTTGGCGAGGTTATAGACGACTTCGACGATGCTGAGGATCGCGAGGAGTCTGTAGAGAACTCGGCCGTTTACCTCGCCAAGGTTCAGCGTCGTGTTCGCGACTACAAAATAAAGGAACTGGCTCCGCCTCGCGAGGGCAAAAAATTACTTGTCCTGGACATAGACTACACACTTTTCGACCACCGCTCTCCGGCCGAAACAGGCACAGAGCTTATGCGCCCGTACCTGCACGAGTTTCTGGCATCCGCCTACGAGGACTATGATATCGTGATCTGGTCGGCCACCAGCATGCGCTGGATTGAGGAGAAGATGCGCCTGCTGGGCGTAACCAACAATGATAACTACAAGGTCATGTTCTACCTCGACTCTAACGCCATGATCTCTGTGCATGTACCGGAGCGTGGAGTGGTTGATGTGAAGCCGCTGGGCGTGATCTGGGCCCTGTACAAACAGTACGACTCGAGCAACACAATTATGTTTGATGACATTCGGCGCAACTTCCTGATGAATCCCAAGTCGGGTCTTAAGATCCGACCGTTTCGGCAGGCCCATCTCAACCGTGCCACCGACACTGAGCTGCTCAAACTTTCCGAGTACTTGCGAAAGATCGCACTCCACTGTAAGGACTTCAACTCCCTGAATCACCGCAAGTGGGAACACTACCACCCTAAGAAGAACGCCTGAGCCGCATCCTCTCTAAACTCGCAAAATCTCTGATCCGATCACAATTGTTTGTAAGATTCGCATAAGTTTATTAAATTAAGATGCATTTTGTACGCATTTTGTCGCAGCTTAAAAGCCAACTAGAGTGTGTATCCGCCCTGATCCGCCCAGTGGACGCGCCTAGCCTCCAGGTACTCCTCGTGCAAGCGCCGGCGCTCCTCCTCCAGTTTGGCTAGCCTCCGATAACGCTGCAACACCATGCCGCAGCCAAAGAGCAGGGCGACCTGACAGATAAGCCAGAATATAAACAGGGCGATCAACAGACTCTGGTTTATGCACACGTTGTCGAGGTGAAGCTGGTCATCGATGCCGGCAATAAGAAGCACTCCTCTCTCCCCGTACATATAGCTGTTTGGGTTGCTCTGGTCAGGGCCATGCACTCGGAGATTATAGTTCAGCGGCAGCTCCTCCTGGCCGGACATTTTAGCGCTTCCGTTTGTAGGCTGCTCTGCAGGGACCACGTCCACAACGGTCGAAATGTAAACCGGATTCTGGACTCTCAAATCCTCCGGTCTTCGGTCTGTCGCCTGTCGCTTCTTTCTTTGCCACGATGCACTGGCACAGTTACTGGTCGAACAGCGCTCCACACAGAACCGAATCTTTACGTCGAAGCTAACGTTTGCCGTGCCGGCAAACTTGAAGGCGTGAAAACGAGCCCTCAACATGCTCCTGGTGGCGGAGTGAACACGCTCCAGAGCCGGAAAGACACTGGCATCGGTGGGACAGCCGCGCTCGTCGATCAGCAGCACATAATTTTCATTGTCCAAGGTCTTGGCTACCAGTGAGGTGGCTCGGAAGTCGGGCAGGGGCGCCAGCTGCAGCTCCAGGTTGTCCGCCATCTGCTCCGGACTATACTCGGCAACAATTTGAAGCTCTAGATTCTGGCCAATCTGAACATCGTTAGTTTCCCTCTGGTGGGATAGATCCACCACTTGAAGCGAGATGCTTGGATGCGGATATGGGCCACTGCTGCTGTTATAGTGGATGACCCCCTCGTGGGGAAACATGCTGTGAATATCAGTTAAGTATTTCTTCAAGTAGTGGACTTTGGGTAGCTTACTGTTCGGCGTAATCCAGCGAGGACTCTAAGGCGATGGCGCTGGGCACATGCTCCGTGGCATCGACGCTGCTGTCCCGGACGGATACTCCCAAGGAGGCAGTGGCATTGCTCTGGATGCAACCGACTTTGATCAGTCGATCGCCCTGCGTCTGCACGTTGGGGTTGTTCTGGATCACCACCAGGGCAGATATGAAGGTTCTAGGAAAAGGATACTATTGAGTTTTAAGAAAAAAAATTAAAACCATTGCGAACCTTTGGTAGGATTGCGTCATTTCGTAGGCGCGCAGGATGCCGCAACGATTCTCCTTGACTTCACTGCCTATCTGCAAGGTCAGAAGGACACTGCCGTTTCCGGATCCTCTGGCCAGGCAGTCCTTCGAGTGCATGCTGGCATAGATCTTGCCGGCAAACCAATCTTTTGGATTGTACTTGATGGTCATTTCCTCCCGGGTGCAGAAGACCCTTACTAAATTGGGAATTCGTACTATTATTAAGTGGGTCTTGTCATCTAGGCACTCACCATCTAGGCACTTGACTCTTCGCATGTACACTGAGTTTTCCCTCAGTTTGAGGCTGCGTGGACCCAGCGACACGATGTCCTCCGAGTGCAAGAGACACTCGGATAATGAGACCTGGTTCACATAGTAGAAGGAGACCCCCTGGCAGTAGAATTTCGACTCATGCGAGCACAGGGCCTGACACTGTAATGGCGGGAAGAATGAAAAGGAGATGTTGGATGGAGTGGGTCACCGTCATCAATCAATCATCCGACTCCCATCGATTACAATCATAATGCGCACGACAATCGAAGCGCGGCGAACACACCTCTTTCTGGGTGAGGCCCAAATACCTGGCCTCCGCGTAGATGAAGCTGCTGTTGGCGTACAGCTCATACGAGCAGTTGTCGCTCTCGACCTCGCGCTCGTGGCACTGGTTCTCCATATACTCCTCGTCGTAGGGAGCTGCCCGGAAGGCGTCCGGCTGGATGGTCTTGTCCCTGTCACTCAGCATACACCGTCCTAGGCGTGGCGAGGGGTTCTGTCCGGGCAGGGTGCCCTCTGCGCCACGAAACCTGTGGGAATAACCGTGGTTAGGAGTTAGGATAGTAGAGAGCCTAATTACAAGAACGAACGAGCCTAGCAATAGCACATTTGCTCCTTTGCTTAATATTGATTTGATGTAGGATAACCTATTACTTTTAAGACTTAAATCCTGTTTCAAAAGCTTGTCTCTAGAGTTTGCTATCTTTAAACTTTATTCAATTTGTTTTATTTACGATTTGAGTTTAAAAATCCATAACGTATATGGATTCCATATAAGTATGTACATATATGTCAATGGGTATTTAAATAATATCTTGGTTCTTTCAAGCATATAAAAATAAAACCAACAAAAAGAAACCTTAATTTGCGAATAATTTATATTCATGAAATTGAAATACCCCTGCCCTGTTTTGATTTTCCATTTCCTTTCCAAGTAATCCCAGCTCCGAGTTGCCAATTTCCAACCCTATACAAAAGAGGTCTAACCCATTCCAGCTCTTCTGAGGAGTGATGTCATAAATGAGCGAAAAACCCTGACTGTGCTTAAAAAATGCACAACAGAGGCAATTAATTTCACCTGACCACAACAACAAAAAGCTAAAGCTATAGCCGAAGCCAACAATAACAATAACAAACAGTCAATTACCGCTCACGATTGTTCCGATACGAGGGGGCAAAGGAGGCGGAGAGGCATCTAAATTCGTTTTCGAAGAAGCAGCTTTCGGCGCACTCACGCCGCGTGACCAAGGTCTGAATGGTCTTCTTGCTCTGGAACACCAGAGTGCTACCGGGAATTTTGGTCAGCGCCCAGAGGCGGCCCCGGCACGCATCGGGAACTGCAAGACAAGGTCGGTGAGAACGGGAAGGTCGGTCCCGCCCCCATCCGGCGGCTTCACTCACCTCGGAGGCAGGTCTTTTCGTAGAACACGGCCTCGGCATCGGCCACCAGTGGCAGTTCCCCGGAAATCGGCAAATAGCGCGAGCTGCGTTCAAAATAGGAGTACCCGTGACACTCGTCCGTGTCCAGCAGATGGACGTAGGCGATGCAGTCGGGATCCTCGTTGCAGATGCGCCAGCACACCTGGCTAGCTGGAGTCTCGTCCTGCCGATCCTGTCCCTCCCGTCGGCTGCGGTCCTTGAAGTTGGTGGCTGGGGTGGCGGGCGGAGCGTAGATCAGGTTTCCCTCGCCCAGATACTCCAGTGGCGGCCGGAATCCTACGATTTTCTGCAACTGCATTTGATGCAGCGGGCACTGCAGCAGTAGGGCATCTGGTGGGGGCGGAACGGGATTAGTATATCTCACTGCATCCGAGCTATGTATGTCGCGGGAGCTATGCGCTCCGCATGACTGGGAACCAGACAATTTTTTTTCAAATTGTTAAGTAGACATATTAGGGATTGCATATCAGTTTCAGCTTATTGCTAAAGTAATGGGTACTACGCCTGCTGGGCATCAATTAATTTCACAAATGTTTATGCATAAGTAAGCAATGAGTAAATCAATCGTGCAACTTGAGATTGCAATTCATTTAAATGGGGAGAGGACTGGGGATAGTGCTCATAACAGAATAATGATTGGGGTTTTTGATGAGTGATGCACATTGATATTTCATAAATAAATGTATTATCCCTTTAATGATATTTCTTTCATATACTGTCTATAAACCTCAAAAAAATCATGGTGCTAAAATATTAAAATATTTTCTTCCATATTTAATATGTATGTATTTTGAAGTGTAGGTCATTCTCCCATTTAAACTAATAATATAAACTTGCTCTCAGGGCTTTGGCGATCGAGTCTATAATAACAACTGACATGCACAGGCAGGGAACACCCACTCCCCCCAAATCCTCTCTAGAAGCGGCCGGTAAACTGATCTAAGCAGTTTGGGTTTTGGTTTTCCACTTGGCTATTGAATGCAAATTGCAAGTGCAATAGTGATGATGCGATTGAGGCATCTTCCCAATGCTTGTACTCTCTGAAACCAGGTAAGCAGCTAAAAATACTGAATGAAAAACGGTTAGAGCCGCTTCGGGGCTGCTTTGGGCCAATTAGCGATGTGGAATGCGATGACGAGGAGGTCGGGGTAGGTTGGGGTGGGTAGGATGTGGGGCATGTTGAATCCAAAATCCAAATATTAGAACTCACCTGCGACACTCAGCGGGAGCAAAATCGCTAAAAACACTAATTTGCATAGCCAGGGGGCTGTTGAAGCTTCTGATTGAGGCATTGTTTCAGACGCGTTTTTGTGGTTGCATGCTCGTCCAATAAATTGTAATTGATTTTTGGCTACTAGCCACACGCACACACACACACTACACACACTGTTGTATTTATTGAGGCTTTTTGCACTGGCTATTTAAATTGCCTGTTTGCTGGTTATGTTTGGCACAGTTTAACACTTTCGGCACGTGCACACTGAACTGAACTGTTTGCCACTCAATCGCCTGCAGATTGAACTATTTGCATAAATGCAAACATAGGCCAGGACTCCCCTGCCAGGACTCCCTTGCCATCAAATATATATTAGCTCGTCTCACTGATGTGGGTCAAAATGGGCCAGCATGGGCATCGTGCTTGTTGCTGTTGCCTAATTACTTTCAAACACGTACAAACATTGTTATGCATTATTTATTTGTTTTGCTAATTTCAGCTCCCCTCGGAGCTTGGAGCTTGGAGCTGTGGCTTTGGCTTTGACTTTTGCCACTGCCATTAGCCATTTGCCAAATGCACTTTGTTTTATTAGCTTATTTTGATGGCTAAAAACAATAAACAGTATATCTGTCCGGCTTCGTCTCCTCAGAACACGTCCGACCCGCGCCACTCTCGACTTGCAAATAGCCGAGTGGCTGCGATCTGGGCTTGAGCTGGTGAGGAGAGATGCCCCGGAGCCCCAGGTAGACTCCGAACACTGCGTATGTAAATGATATGAATGCTTCTCGCAGTTCCAGCAGCAATGCACTGAGGGAAACTTATATTACCTTTAAAAATTTCATCAAATTGCTTCACATATTTTGGGGATACGCTCTAGGGGCATGAAGTAATATTTTGTCTACCATATTCTATCTTAACTGGTGAGAATTTTCTCTCAGTGTAGCCGGAAAATTGTCGATCGAGCGCCGACGTCGCAGCTAACCGAGCGTATGAGAAATTCCATGTCAGAGTCGTCGCTGAGATTGCTGATTAGATCGCTGGAGTGTGTCGCACGGGGCAACCCCACCGGGGGGCAGCCACCGAATTGCTGGCTCGATTTCAATGTGCAATAAACAAAACTATTTAACGCTCCCATAAGGGCGGGAGGTGGTGGGCGGCCGTCGGCAGTCAATACGCGGAGGGCAAGGGGCAGAGACTAGGGCGAGGCTGCGTGGTGCCCCATCTCACGGGGCACGATTCAGGTAGTGTATCTATGATACACATCTAGCCATGCATGGCCCAGGTGCTCCGTCTTTCCGTCTGTTTGCACAGTTGCGCCCCGGCTGCTGGATTCAATGGCACTTTTAACAGTTCAGTGGTTCCAGCGTTGACAACGATTGTTTCCCCCTTCTCAGCCTTTGCGGCCCTTCCAATGATAAATGACTCTGCTTACTTCTTGGGAGTCCGGGCAACATGTGCGTTTGCGGTTCTGCAGCCAATTGTTTATCGCTAATTAATAGTGGTAGCGACTAGCCTTTAATTAGTGGGTCATTAAAGGGCCCCCGGAGTGTGTGCGGTGTGTTGTGCGTGACCTTTGCGGTTGCCACTTGCAACCGATTGGCAAGTTGGCCAAGGTTATCCAAGTCTCTGCTGCTCAGTTGCGGAATTGCTCGGTTGAGCGGCGATATGGAAGGCACTATTTTGGTTGACATAAGGGCACACTCGATTACCCAATCCATCGTTACCTAAGCCGAGGAAAGTTCCACAAGCATGTGGTTTGGAAATACAAAAAGTAAGGTCAGTTTCTTTCATGCGATAAGCTGGTTTTTTATTCTATTCAGTACTTAACCATTTCGGATCCTACTTTGATATTAACAAAGTAAATCTAATCGAATTAAATATATATCCAATAAAAAAACACTCGAAAAACAGTAACTACAACAGTAACAAAAAGGATTCATGCCTTGGGACTTTCATTTTTTCCGTGGACACACTGCGTATACGTAATAATTCATAGGCACTGCACACGACATGCAATAACTGCGCAATAATTGCTCGTTGCATGCAACTGCGGGCCACGCCCCTGCAGCATTATCCACGGCATGCAAAAGGGGCCAGTCCTAGTACTGCAACGAAAATAAAATGCTTTAAATAATGTGAAACATTCAGCAGTGGCGTGACACGGAGGCAGCAAGAATGTTGCTGCAACATCAGGCATTGGGATGACGAAGGGATGGGATTAAATTTTTAATGCCACAGCACACTAAAGCTGTTGCAAGTTTATTTCTGTCGTCCGCCGGTGCCCGACCCACAAAACTTTTCCGTACTCACCTTGAACTATAAAGCCATCCTGGGTTACATATGTATGCATGTATGTGTGTGGACTGTGTGTGGTGTCAACAAAGAACAATAAAAACAACAACGTTCACAAGGGCCAAGTGACGCCCGAGTGACGCATAAAAATAAAAGTTGCATACTTCCATAGGGTGGTACATACATATATGTATGTGCAACACAAAATAATAACACACGACACAGAGTCGGGGGCCTAATTAAAAATGCCGAAAAGTCAGGGGTTTTCCGGAAGGGAAAGACGGAACAATGCAGCACCCACACACTCTGCCACTTGCCACAAGTCCGTCAGAGTGACACGAGTGCTTTTCAACCGGACTGTGTTGTGTGCCTGTCTGGCGGTGGCTGAGCAGCCAGGCGTGCCATGCAACTTGTCGCATTGTCTGGCCCACAGAATTATGCAAATGAGCCAGCCAGGTCGCTGTGGACTTCAACTCCGCACATTGTTTATGTTGCCCAAATATTTGAAACCAACAAGCCAAAAATCTTGGCCAACTACGCACAATTACAGAGCGAGAAAATTCTAATTATTTCAGTGCGAAATTTACACTCCATTTGTTCACACAAAAGTATGAAAGAACAGAAACAAAATACATCTTCCAGATTATATGTACAAATTTCTCTGTGGACCGCAGTCTACATAGACCACGAGCCGAATGACTTTGGGTGCGCGATAATACGAGAAACCCACACTGATAATACGAGAAACGGTGAGTCATTAACATTATTTTGTATGACTTCACGATGTAATACAAATTATCAATTAATTTGACTCAATAATGATTGTTTTTTATTCTTTTTGGCTCGATAATAGAACATAGGATACATATTTATATAAAGAATCATCATGAGTCGGGTGCAGTATGGATTTGGTGGCGGGGTAGTAAGTTTTAAGCTTCTTTACCGAGCTCATTTCAAAATCCTTACATGTTATAATTTTACTATTGTATACTTTACTAATTTTGCGTTGTGTACTGAATATTAGCTAGGCTTGATTATTAGTTTTGAATAGATTTTGGATTTTCATCTAATTTTCTTAAAAGAGAATTGTGTGAAATAAAGTTAGTTTTAAAAGGGAACTCATTGGAGTAAGACCATTTTATTTGGGGCTCCTCTTAACCGTCTCTCTGTATTAGGGCTTCTGTATTGGGCCTCCAATATGAGCAGCGGAAATATTATCAGAAACATGCTAATAGTAATAATAATTCTCGGAAACCCGGAATTACCGGGTTTTGGTTTTGAGTCATTAAATAATCTTTCAATAGAGGAACGTATACAAGGAGAAATTCAGCTTATTTCACTTAATTTTAATTCATCGCCATGGACGGACAGAATTTAATCCTCATCGCGATTCTGCTGATCTCGGTGTGGCCAATTGCTTGGGCTGGGCCCCTGCATCAGGACTTGAGGAATTCTTCAAATCAGTCCTCCTTGGAATTAATAACAGTTTCTGGAGGAACTACACAACCACTCGTTTCAAGCCGTGCGGAGGAAGAATATCAAGGATTGAGAGCAAAGCGCTATATAAGCATTCCTTGCCCAAGGGATCATAGGGGGATATGTCTCACCGCACATGCACTTCCACACCGGAAAATGTAAAAAGTAAAAAAGTACTTGTATATTAATAAGATTGTTGTTACTTATAATTTATTATTTATTTTTCTTTTTTTGTGTCTAATAAATTTGAAAAATTATATTTAAAAGTTCAGTTTTGTTTAGTGCTCTTATTAACCGTGACTAACGTTAGTGACTAACTTCTGAGTGACTTAAGGGGCCCATCCACAGGCGAGCATGTCATTTTCCCCACTAACTAGAGCCAACATTCGTGCGAACATCATTTTTCGATAAATTTTCAAACTATCAATATGTCAACGGACAACTATAGCGGCACTCTAATTGCACTTATGGCAATAAGTATTTGCCATAGATAATATTGCAAAATAATATTGCATTTTTTATTCATTTTTCTCTACCAAAACTTTTTTTTAAACTGACGTTCGTGCCAACATTGCCATCCATTGGCGAGCATGTTGTTGCAAACGTTGTCAAAATAGAACGATTTTAATTCCATTCGAACATTTTGACAAACACAAAATTTTACAACGAACACTACCATCCACAGGAAAAATTTCGTCGAGCACAACATGTTCGCCGAACATGCTCGCCTGTTGATGGGCCCCTTAAGACAAATTATTTTCACAACAATTAATTTGACTAATTAATGATTATTTTGTGTTCATATTTTTGAGCGCGATAGTTGCTGTCACGTTTAAGTGATACTTGTTGAGCTTATTTTAAAATCCTAACATGTTATAATTTAACAATTAGTTTTGTACTGAAAATTACCTAGGCTCCTTTTAAAATTTGTTCCTTCCTGTGTTGATTCTAAAGGCGTTGCGCATGCAATAACCATTGTGCTCTGCTACAAAATAACAGTGTCTTTTCAAGCATTTTACTCGATTTTTAATAAGAATTGTAAAGACAGCGTTTCAAGGAAGGATAATTATGGCTGATTCCTCGTAGCCTAATATTAATATTCACAGGTGGTGCGCTAATCGCACTAAAGAAAGGGTTACGTAGAATTTCAGCGTGCAGTGCGTTGATAAGTTGTTTTACCTTAAATAGATTTAGTATTTTCATGTATTTTTCTTAAAAGAGAATTTTATGAAATAAAGTCAGTTTTAAAACGGCATCCATTGGAGTAAGACCTTTTTATTTGGGGTTCCTCTAAAGAGTCTCTCTGTAACAGGGACTCTGTAGTTCCAATACTAGCAGAGGAAATATTAGCAGAAACAAACTGGGAATTTTTTATACCCTTGCAGAGGGTATTATAATTTTGTCCAAAAGTGTGCAACGCAGTGAAGGAGACATCTCCGACCCTATAAAGTATATATATTCTTGATCAGGATCACCTCCTGAGTTGATATGAGCATGTCCGTCTGTCCGTCTGTCTGTCTGTTTCTAAATTTCGTTCGGATCGGTCGACTATATCTTATAGCTGTCATATAACTGAACGATCGGAAATGACCCAACTTTTGTGTTTTTGAAGATAGAAAGCTGGAACTTGGTACAGATTATATTCTTGGTTAATCCGACCTACCAAATTTCATAAGGATCGGCCGACTATATCTTAAAGCTGCCATATAACTGAACGATCGAAAATGGTTTTTGGTAGAAATACCAACTTTGGTATTTTTGAAGATAGAAGCTAACTGCAAGGGTATATAAACTTCGGCTCCGCCCGAAGATAGCTTTCCTTTCTTGTTATATTATTATGATTTATTATAATCTTGTATAATAAATCACAAATCTTTCATATCAGTCGGTTTCGAGGAATTAAATAATCTTTCAATGGGGGAACGTATAAAAGGAGAAATTCAGCTTATTTCAGTTAATTTTAATTCATCGCCATGGACGGACAGAAATTAATTCTCATCGCGATTCTGCTGATCTCCGTTTGGCATAATGCTTGGGCTGGACTCTTGCATCAAGCCTTGAGGAATTCTTCAAATCAGTCACCCTTGGAATTAACAACAGTTTCTGGAGGAACTACACAACCACTCGTTTCAAGCCGTATGGAGGAAGAATATCAAGGATTGAGAGCAAAGCGCTATATAAGCATACCTTGCAAAATGAATCATATTGGAATGTGTATCCACGCACACTCGTATGCATACCAGAAAGTGTAAAAATAAAAAGGTATTTTTATATGAATAAAAATATTGTTACTTAAATGTATTATATTTTTTCTTATTTTTTTGTGTCCAATAAATTTGAAAGGTTATGTTTTAAAGTGCAGTTTTGTTTAGTGCTCTTATTAACCGCGAAATGACTAACTTCTGAGTGACTTACTGACTGGCCCAAAACTCTAGCTGTATGCAACTTGGCCGGGTCGCCCTTACTTGTGCTGCTTAATTGTCGCAGCAACTTCCGTTTCGGAACGCCATGCCAAAGTTGCCGTGACCCGACCCCATCCGACTAGCGTGTGAACTCGTTGGCGTTGGCGTTGACTTGGCTCCGCTACATATAAGTATGTTCCACTACCTTCTATTCCCGCCTGCCCCTTGCTATGGCACACTAAAATTTATTTAAATCTGCACCATAATTGTTTGTCCGCCTGTTGCTCGTCGCCTTCGTTTTGTTTTAGTTAGTTGCTTGTTGGCTTTTTCGCCGCTCGTGTGTGCATAAAATTAGCCACTAAATTTATTGTTAGTCATTCGCTGGCATTCCTGGCTCTATGGAGCGACCGTTTAAATGTCACGAGTTGCCACAATTTGTTAAATGGTGACAACAGCATCCCATTACCGAAAAAACTAAACAAACACTGGATTGCATTAAATAATATTTATTGATTTCATCATCCATATACATATATATAAACAAATGGTCGTAGAGCTTAGTGGAAATAAAAACCTGTGCTATCGAAACGAAAACCAAAGATGGAAAATCTTTTCAAAATGCATTACGTACGTATTTAAATTGATACTACCTTTTCGTATGGAATCTTCACTATGATTTGATGAAAAAGGTTATATCTTTCAGAAACTGATAAGTAGAAATTCTGCCGAACTTCGAGTGGCAGAGGATGGGCTCTAGTAATGCAATTTGCACAATAATACACAAGTAAGTACAATCGTAATAGATAGTCAGTTGTAGGGTCTACACCACAAATAATTATAATTTCCATTTACTTTATAATTTGCTTTTTAAATGCAGCCGAAAAATGTTATTTTTGTCCACTCCACGTCGTCGCTGCATCTCAAATGATTGTTATTAATGTTGGTTATAAATTTTCGCTATAATTAAAAGGTTTATTTATCATATATGCATTCGTTTTTGTTTACTACAATTGGCTATATAATTTTCGTTTTGGTTGCAAGCATTTTTATCATGTTTATCCTTCATTAATTTAATGCGCTCGTAAATATGTTTAAATTTAGTATTTGCCTTTGGTTTTCTATTGGATATCCCTGTGGGGAAAATATCAAAAAGTGGATTCAACAAATGAGAGGAGGGATGAGCTACGATCTGCATTGATGCTGCCACTTAATTGCCTCTTATATACTTACATGTTAAACATATTATATATTTTTTTTTTATTATATATGCATGTATGTATAAGCGAATTGCCGTTTACCGAATCTCCAGCCAAATCCTTTTCTTATGATAATGTCGTATGTCCTACGTGTGTGAAGATTTCAAAGCGCTTCCGGTCTTGATCTTGGTTGATCTCGATCGCAATGGCCAAAAAAATTGGTGTTCGTGTGATGTTGGTTCGTGTGGGTGGCGTGACATTTACGATTTACGATTTCCGATTTCCGGTTTACATATATTTTAAGCTGAGTGCTGAGTTTGCCCTGGCAGGTGCTGTGATTCAAATGATGCTCGCCTTGTAGCAAAGCCAAGCCGAATACGTGTTGGATCTCTCACTATATATCTGGTAAGTAACACTAAATGAACGCGATTATGTTTCGTACATATGCAACTATGAGTTCTTCCCTCCGCGAACTTCTTCTCGAACTGCACTCTTCGGCCGCCTAGGAGTCTTGGAGTACTCTGGGAATGGGGCTACTGGCCTCGATCCATCGTATTCGTGTTCATCATTTTTTTCAAAAACTTATCACATAATTTTATATATTTTTGTTTTTTTGGGCGGAATCTTAGCGTGTATCGTGTTTTGCTTGCGCGAAAGCAGAGGAGGACAGATGTTGAGGGATGCCGATTCTAACTGGGTTTCTAATCTTTTGCAAAAAGGCTAAAATAGACGGATGGACTTAACCATGCAAACAACAATGATAACGAAAGATAAATCTTGGCTGATTGACTAAAAAAATGGCCAAAGCCGTAGACTCCGGGGTGCTCTTCTCTGCCTACTGATGATGCCAATTAGCGTGCGATTCGCCTCTAACTATGCTACAGTTTTTCTTTGGTTTGCTCTCCCCTGTTATCCTTTCTGCGTCAACTTTCATCTTCATGGCGAGTCTGTGTGTGTCTGAGTGTATGGTGTATTTGCTTCTGCTGTTTGCTATTCGTAGTTTCTATTCAAAAACGCTTACGTGGCTATTCTGCACATTTATGGATTTAGGGTTTTTCGGTTTTTTGTTTTCAGTTTTCGCTTCTGCGTTTGCTTCTACTTCAACTTCCACTTTCGGTTGTTTTCGGTTTTGTTTGCAATCATAATAATAATATTAATTTTCTGTTGTAACGCCAGCGCCGCTGCTGATTGGATGGGATGAGCCAGGATGCGCCACGAACTGGATGCAGGACGAACGTCGTCGCTTCGCTTAGAAGACCAGCATCTGATCGGCGCTGCCCTCCGCACTGTCATCGTCGTCGGCTCCCTCGTCCTCGTCGTCGGATGTGAGCGAGGCGGCGTTATTGACCACGGACTCTGTACGGATGGATGGACAAATTAGAATCAAGTTTGCATTGAAAAGCCCATCCTTGGACTCAGCATAAACCCATAAGCTGACCGCTTCGAAGCACAGCCCGCCTCATGCGTTATGCATGGCGTATGCTTGATATTAATAGGAAAACTCAATTACCGATCCCTGCCCGCCCCGACAACTTTAACAGCCTTAAGTGCCGAGTTAAATCAGCCTGCCCCGGACAGACTCAAGGACCCGAGCAGTGCGGTAAGCACGCAAGGACACCAACGGACACAGACCCGGGTCTGGGCGGGTTAAGCAGATTACGTATACGCACCGGAGTGCGAGGTGTTTACCGATTCCATTGCCGCATCTCGCATAACTCGGCAACGGCAAGCGGGCTATAAAAGCAGGCTTATAGGCTGATATTTCAATACCCAGGTAAATGGCAGGGCTCAGATGGCAAATCGCTTGCCCTGAAAATGGTTAAGTATGCCTGGAATTATTTTTTTTTATTTATCCACCGATACAAGGCTTTAATTGGCATCGATTCGTGTTTCTGCTGGCACTGACAGTGGCGCTGCAGTGAATTTACATTCACCACAAGGGATTATTTTGGCACAATTACTTTTACGTATATCAACGTTAACCCTTTAAGGCAGTCGTCTACCTTTGCGGTTTGATCGTTTTTTTTTTTTGCATAATTCTAATGTAGACATAATTTAAAACATGCCTTGCAAAGGATTTAATCGAAAGCATGCAGGTTTACGAGATATCGCGCCTCGAACCCGGCCCCGCACAGGCTAGTCACAGGCTATCATTTATCTTTAATTGCGTTTTCTCGAAAATGGTGTTTTTCAAAAATCGTGGTAAGATTCTGACAAAACTATGAAAGATAATTGAAATCTGTAAATTGAGATTTATTCACAAAACATCTGGCTATGTTTAGACACAAGCTTCTTGCGAATTTTTACAGTCTGTTTTAGCATAAAAAACATGCTCGAAAAATGCCCTTTTTTTAAATTGACGCCATTTTGTTAAATTTTGAAATAATCAAAAAAGCTTGTGTCTAAACATAACTGGGGTAATAAACATTAAGTCAACTCAAAAATTTTTTTGTTTCCAGCTTTTGATGACGAGATCGGCGGCCACAAAGTCGCCCATGTCAAAACGGCAGAGGTGCGCTCAAGGACACGCCAAGGGCAGAATTTTTCAAATATTCTTGTTTTCTTTTTTTTAACTGCCTAAAAGACAACGAATGCCTTAAAAGACAACGTGGGTTTTTTCCCATTTGATTTTTCTAGTGATGTTCAATTCATGTTTCTATGGAATTATGAGTCTACGGAGAATTGGGAAAACACAAGAACTTCAAAATTATTCCCTCTGTTCCGACCCTATTTGAAATAATTGATAATAGATTTCTGAATAATTTGAGCTCTCTAGAACTATTCTGAAGAAATATTAGTTCTATGAAATACTTTCAAGATTATTTTTCCCAGATTTTTGTGAGAACAGTTCAGTTTTTGCAATGACCACCTCAACTTTATTTCCCTTTTTTCGCCTTCATTACGGCATTAAAAGCCTTGTGGGTGCTTTTGTCGGGTCTGAACCCCCTAACCGACGTCAGGTGTTTGGGTTAAGTGTTTATACGATGCCACACTCTCTCTATTATTCCGAGTCCTGGATCCTTTATCCATTATCCCTTATCCCGAGTGCCCATCACCCCCGCATACTCACCGCAGTTGGGCTTGCCGCGTGTGCGTGTGTTGGCGAACTCGACTCCATGCTTGTCCACACACCAGCACACACCAACCGAGTTGTGGCACTGGGTGGGTTTGTAGAATCCCTGAATGTCGCAGTCGGGTGCGTAGGCGCCTAATTAGTGTGGTTTGGGAGAAGAAGGGCATCATTTTAGTGGCGGCTATGCTTAAAATGGGGCTGTTCTTTTTTTTTTTGTATTTGAGGGGAGCCAGTGAAAAGCGGCACAAGCAAACTTATTGTTAAATCTATTTTGTTTTGGGCAAGGGGAGGACTAACAAAGAAAAAGAAATTATATAGTTTGGGGCAGGAACACAAAAAAGCATCGGACAGTGGCTAGAAAAAAGTTCGGTGTGTTGTTGTTAAAAGTGTTTAATTTGCTGGCTTAAAAGTTGCGTTTGGCCAAGAGAGATGGGCAGGAAAAAAACTGGGTAACGAGCTCAAACCGAAAGTTAACAACGAAAGCAGCGCAAAAAAGGGTTACTTCTGCAGAACATTTACTGAATGCACTAGGGAAAAATATCACAGTGAATCTTGGTTTCTATTCAAAATGTTTCCATTACTGTATTTATAAAAGAAAAGGAGAATCAAATTCGAGAATCTTAAAAGCTTTAAATAAATATAATCGTCACTGCAAGATATTTCTCCAAGTGTATGAGCATCTGTGTGGCTGTGGGCTGGTGTGAGTAAGTTTGTATAAGTGTGTCAGGGTTTCTATTTAGCTGTCAGGCGCTTAATTATACATAGTTTGAAAAAGGTTGCAAGGAGCCAGAGCGTCAGACAAACAAAAACTAAGCGGTCGAAAGAGATGGAAGATAGCAAGAAAGCGAGAGAGCAGTAGAAATAGAAAGAGAGCGGTAGTGAAAGTAAAAGTTCAACTCTTTCGGGCATTAAACTCTTATAGTTCTTATTTCTGTTTTTGGTATTGTTTTGCTTTGTTATTTGTTTTCTGTTGTTTTTCTGTACATTTTTTATAATTTTTTTTAAGGTAGTAGTGGGGAATACATAAATGAGGCCCAGGACCCCGCACAACTCATACTCAACGGAACATTTATATACGGTATATAGAGAGAACATAGAAGTATTAGTGTTATGTAGAGAAATGTCCACCTGTACCTATCTCACCTGCAAAGTCGCCGGCGATTCTTCGGCGAACTGCGGCGCACGGGCGGTCCGTCTTCTCGAAGCAGCGACACCACTCCCGGGTGTTGATCGCACTGTCCGTGTCCAGGTCGCAGGTGTCGATGAAGGGCTTGATGCAGCGCTCGTTCTGGTCGTGCTCCAGGTCGTACATCTCCTGCAGCGACAGTTGCCCGTCGTTGTTCAGGTCGAGGTGGCCGAACATCCACTTGGCCTCCGTCTTGCAGGCGGGCGGGAAGTGTGCCTTCGACTTCTGGCTGTGCTGCCGGCGCTTCTTGCTGTCCGCCATGATCACGGAGAACCAGTCCAGGAGTCGATTGCCAATGGCAGTAAGCTGCTGGGGCTTGCACTCTGGTGACTTCGAGGGGTAACCTGCTAAAAATGATATATGATGACTTACTAATATTTCACGCTTTACGCATGTTATGAATAATATTTAAGAAATACGTGCTATGCCTAGAGTAGTTCTTCATAACGAATATGTTTTTATTATGTATAGTATTTCCCAATGTCCGGATTTTTTAAAATACATAGATTCCCAGTAAATCTGCTTTAAGAAAATATTTTTTATTTTTGGGAACTTTCCCACTACCTAGCAACCTATTAAAAAAAACCCTCATCAATATTTTTTCTATGAATGGTGCCGCTCTGTCTAATATTCATTTTTCTGACGTATTAACTAAAGAATTCAGAACACGTGCGGCGCCAAGCGTGATACTTGACCTTATTATCAGCCCAATACTGTGAATTTTGAAATTATCAAAAGAAACAAGAAAATTGGAACTCAACACTTGTCGTTTCTTTGATTACGATGGGAATCCCAAACAATTGTTGGATGCATTCTCTCTTTAAAATATAAAAACTAGTACTATTATGGCGCCGGGGATAATCGTATCTTTTTCAATTTTTATCCAATCCTTGAATATATTACCGATATTGACGATCCATAAATGAGATACCTTAATCGATTCTTTATAAATCTTCATAGAAACCATCCAAACTATGGTACTGTTGGATCCCTTTTTTTGTCAATTTTTCCCTTGAAAATTGGGGAAAAAGGTGTATATGTATGGATATGTATGTATGTATAATCCGAATTTTCACCCGATGCTTAAATTGAATACCTTTTTCGATCTCCCTTTATTTCATATAAATAATAGGTATCAAATAAATATTTCACATTTTAAGAAATTTTTTTATGACAAACACTTATATGGAGTGTCTAATACAGGGGTGCCCAGCCCCATTGCTCTCGGAGCTCCTTTGTTGTTGGAATTGCTCGTTATATGGGAAATGAAATTTTATATACGTGTGTGGCTCGTAGCATAGGAAAGGGCTAAATACAAAAACAATTTTTCGTTTTTCAAGTTAAGCAACAACAATTGTATAGTGTCTCAGTTTTTCGTACTAATACGAAGGCACTTTGTTTTTTTATTACCGAAAACTTTTCACTGCAAAAAATTACTTTTGGTTGAGATCTCAAAAAGAATGGTTAATATCTGAGCTATGAATTTCTTTTATTTATAACTTTATTACAGTTTTTAATTTTTATTTCATAAATATTTTTGTATTACTTTTTTCCATTGAAAATTTTACTATAATTTTTTTCAGTATACCGACATGACTTGCAAAAAAAATTTCTAGCTTTAATGTATTGGTGATTTTTTGCATTGGTATTCGAGTTTGCTCTGTCCTATGCTGAGCTTGGGCAACCCTGGTCTAATAACTCATGTGCTGTTTCGGTTTTATTAAACTTCAATTGCGATAAGGAAAAAACAATTTATTTCTATCAAATGTGAATGATTCCTAGACCAACCCAATGAATTATTCTGAATAAAAATGTATAATTTTTCCATATTTGGGTAAAATAATATTTATTAATAAGAAATTCGTCATTAAAAATTATCTGTATGTATAATGAAAAAAATATAAATATTGTTGTTCTCACCATTTACGTTGTTCTTATTAACCTTCTGCTGTTGCTTCTCCACCACTTCGTTGTAGTTGCGCATCTTGTGCTTATCGTCCTGGTACTTGTTGTCCTGCCAATTAGAAAATTATAAGCAATAGGAATAACAATTTTAAAGAGGCCGCCAGGACTCACCTTTTTGTAGGCCGTGTACTTGAGGTATTTATAGTGCTTGTTGTCGTACTTGATCTCCTCGGGGGTGAAGGTGTACTGGGCATTGATGTGGTTGTAGTGTCGGTTGTTATCCTCCTTGTCCTGTGGGTTAAAAAAACCAAAAAGAAAAAAAATTAAAGACAACTCAGATGCCTTTTCGGGCCATTAACTTGCATTCATGATCGTGTTGAAGTCATTGTTGTTGCCCCCCATAATGTTGCCGCTGTTCATCATGATGTTGTTGTTGCTGCTGTCCTTGTAGGCCTGCTGTTGTTGTTGTTGCTGCTGCTGCTGGTCGAGGGCGATCTTCTTGTTGTACTTGTTGTTGCCGTTGTAGCCGGATATGCGCTGCAGCCGCTTGCCATCGAAGTTCTCTGCGAAAAATTGTGGAAAAAGCGTTCATAAAATCGCTGGTCTAGGCAAACTTTTTCCCAACCACCGGCCGGCAGTATTTTATTTATTTTCTAGGCCCTCTGAGCTGTGCAAAATTGAAAATTAACGTCCTGCCCCCTGGCTGAGTGGTCCTGGCAGAACAATGGCGCCGACTACTTGTACCACACGGCCTATTAAATATTTAACAAGTGATGTGCCCGGCTAAAAATATTTAAAGCCAAAGCCTTTGTTTGGTAATTGGAATTTTTAATTGCCTTTCCAGCTTTTCAGCCCAGTTGGTCTAACAAATCGCGAAGCATACTTTCATGGGCAAACAACTCTCCCACTCTCTGTCTCTGTCTGGGCCTGGAGCCCCGTCCCCGGTCGCGTCTCCTGGCCGTAAGCCTGTCACAAAATATGCATGCAATTTATTTTGTAGTCATCGTCCGTACTCGGTCCAATCCTGGCGGCTTGCCAGGCTCAAGCCGAAGCTCATTATGCGGCCTCCAAGCGGAGCATTTGATTTCGGGGGGCTTGGGGGTTTTGTGGCTGGCTTGGCCATGTTATTTGTTTTCGGCCTAGACCCATAGTTGTATTTTGATACCCTTTAATAGAGTCTTGTGAGAAGACAATAAGCCACTAACTAAGTCCTAGAGGTTCTTGATACTCATTCACCCCGCTTAGCAATCAAAACCGTACCCATTTAACTAACATAAACAAGTTTAGAATCTAAAATTCGTTAGGATAACATTTTTCTTTAAAGAAAGAGATGAAAAAAGATATCCTTACCCTTGCAGGGACAGAATCCTTTGCAGGCAATCCGAATGGACGTCGAATGTATGCAATTGTGATAATCCAATCTGCATAGTGATGAGTAGGTCCTGTTGTCAGCACCGCACAGGAACGTTGGCTTGGCCACAGGACATGGCTTGCAGTTGCTGGAAAAGAGGCGAAAAAAAATGGAGAAGATATAGCAGAGTTAGAGAAGCCAGGGAGGCAGAAATCAGAAAAGTAAAACTCAAGGGGCCGCAGCAGCAACAAATAGATGACATGCAAAATTAATTTTTATGCAAATGAAGTCTGTTCCTCCCCTCCCCCCCCTTATGTGAACAACTTGCCGGCCAGGTAAGAGAACAGAAGGATACACAGCCGGCACTCATCGCCTTGCTTATACATTTATTTAAATATTTATTTAATATGCGCTGCACGCACGCCCTAGCAAACAGCCGAGCCATGAGATTGGCCAGGGGACTAGGGACGATAAAGGACACGTCGCACTCGGCTGAAGCTTTATTTAATAATTTGAGCAAATATTTAAGCGACCATACATGTACGACTCCATTTCCATAGATGTGTAATCTTAATTATAATTCATCCCGCTTCAAGTGATTTCATTCTGGATGCCCTGATCGGGATCCACCGTCAATCATTCAACTCTTATTCGAAGCTCTGCCCTACTTACAAAAGAATATCGGCTTTTTTGCTCGTTATTTTAAAACCAACAAAAAGATTAATTGAATTAATTGTTGCTACTGTGAGAGAGCTGCAGTCCTGTCCTGTCTGTGGCTGCAATAAAAAAGGCTTTCGGTTGAATATTTTTATCACTTTCGGTGTGGATTTAATTGGCGCGCCAAACGCAGAATTCGCTCCCATTTCCCCCAGCCCTATTTCATAATTTTATTCAGCCATATATGTATTGTCAGTTTTTTGTTTGGCGAGTATCAAATAAAATTTCCACATTTATTTGGCCGCTTCTTGCCGCCTGCCAAATGAAATGCAATTTGCCTAATTGCCCCCAATTTGGCAGTCATAATTAGAGGGTTTTATTGGACTTTTGTTCGAGAGTTTGAAGAAATATTAATTGAAAATTGGCCTGCTGTTGAGCCAGGGCTTAGCCCAGTTTGGCATCCATTGTGGTTTATTTGCTTTATGCTAAATAAATTCTGAACAAAGATAAGACCTTGAGCGTACAATTACTTGTGAGGAAAAATACGAAAATATCCAGAAACCGAGAGGTCCAATGAAAGGAGAGAACTGCTGGATTTGTCAACCGATTTGCATGCACTGGCCCGGCCACTTAAGCTGGCCAATTTCGTCTCTGAGCCAAAAGTAAACGTAGCAATGGCCAAAACCAATACAAACACATACACGTATGTATGCTTCTCTGTCACTTTTAATTAAAAATTCCCTCGCATGTTCTTTTGCCCGCTTCAGCTTCCACATCCAGTGGCACTTCCGTTTCCGCTTTGTTTGCTTCCCTCCTCCAACGGATTGTTTATACAAATTTAATGAAATTCTTAGGGCCAAGTAAATAGTGAGACGAATAAATTTGATAAGGCCCTTCGTTCAGGCCGATGTCCCCATGGCGGCGACTTGCCTCCTCAATGATGGCATCTTGAATGGCCGGCGCAGCATCTGCGGTTGCTTTGTGCAAATTGCCCATCAAATGGCTGGCCACATGCCGGCTCCTTGTCCTTGTGAAAAATGTGTAAATTTTTACTCAAATATTTGCTTTCAATTTTGCAGCAACCCGACCGAATATTTGAAGGTGCGGGGAACCATAGTCCCTTTGAGGCATCTTGCCCTCCTGCTGACGCCGACAGCTTCATGTGCATAGACCACAGAACAGCTCAGTGGTTTCGAATAACTGCCATGGACAGGCCAGCACACATACCCCTTGGAATAGTTTAGCCGAGGTGAGATCCGACCTTTGGCATGCAAAGAGCACACTGGTAAATAATAAATCATAACATCTTAAAAAACTATAATAAATATAGAGTAAAAAATTAAAAAATCTGTAGATCTAATAATAAGCTTGATGAAGGCGATCAAAAAAATACCTTTGGTTGATACACGTGTCGTATACGTAATGAAAAAACCTAACAAAAGTTGTGAAAAAATATGTCATATTTCCCGAATAAAAATAACAATGATTCAATGATTATATAGAAAAAGAAGATTATATTTAGTTCACAATGTAGCTACAACCAATGTGCAAGGAGCCCCCAGAATCCCCGAAAGTTCCAATCCCTCTCATCCTTTGGCATATTGTTACAACAAACAATTCAGGGCTCACACATGAGTTATGGCTCGATCCCGCTCTGCAGCTACAGCTATCCAGCTGCCTTTTGGTCTATTAGAAGTGCCTTTCCCCTGGGCTCCAGCCCCCGTTAGTGACCCCTTTAGTGGGGCAGGTCCTTTGTTTGAATTGCGGCTGAATGGAAAGACGAGCAGAGAAAGCCGAGAACTGGAGCAGAGCTCCTGGCCACCAACCCGCCTCGACGATGAGTGGCAAATGCTCGGGACGGGCTACAACTATTGATTTTGCCAGAAGCTCGAATGTGACACACACTAGGCGGCATTCATATTTCATGCCATTGACATAGATACACAAATGCATGGCGTCGTGGAATTTTCGTGAAAGCAAAATTGAAAAGGAAACTTTGGTGGTGGGCGGTTCGGGGCTAGGAATATGTCAAAAGGCATTGTTAATGTCATCGCTGGAAGCGGAAAGAATACCCCATGGGGAGGAGTCAGGATTGGGGCGTGATTTGCCTATAGATTGATTTTTACACACAGGCACCCCCTACTCCGTTGTGTCTGTGTGTTTGGCAAGTGGATTTTAATTCAATTACAAAACGCTCGGGGATTCGGGACGCAAACAAAAACAATAACAATGAGCTCAGAAGCTTTCCGAAAGTTATCGGAGTACTTGCGAAATTTTCCATTTTCTCATGTATCTCAAGGAATTCAGGAGAAATTAAATTTTAATTTTTACAACGTTGTCAGAGGATCAAAAAGCAAAACTTTTGCATGTCATCTTATCCCCGGCTCATACATCACAGAAGCATAATTTTGAAGAACTCTTAAAGAGCAGGATTTCTCAAGGATGCCAACATTTCAAGAGAGAAGGTTAGGTGTTAACTACCAGGCGTTTCAAATTTTATTTTATTTTTGTGTACCTAGTCCTTAACCCATCCCAAAACTTGGGGCAAATATTTTCGCAACGGAAATCGATGTTTGGAAGTTGCCAACAACTTCCTTTTCGCATCCCTTTTCCTGCCTTTTTCGAGGCAATCAAGCCTTGACACAGGCCCGACTTTGACTTTATTTTCCAGGCTTCTTGTCAGAAGGTGCAAATGCTACCTTCACCAACTCCCCCTTTGATTTTCTCCCCTGATTCGAGAGGGAAATTGCTCGCGTGCGAGTCCACAATTCGGGTTAGGGTCAGAGCGATAACACGGAACAAGTCAAAGGATCCGACGACGGCACGCGTCAAAGGGTAAAGGCCGTAAAGCTGTCGTTGCGGCCCATTGAGGCAGAAGTATGCCAGCACCAGCCAAAAAGCCAGCTCGGCAAACGATAACAGCCCAGCAGGAGAAGCACGACAATAACAATAACAAAATTCACAAAAAAACAGGCCATGGCCAAGTCTGCGTGCTGAAAACTGTACCGCTGTAAATTTATTGCAGAATTTTTATACACGATAAAACAATTTATTATTAGCATGACGACGGTGGAAATACATGGAGGAGGAAGGAGCCAGTGGGAGGAAGTGGCTGATGTCAAAGGTGACCCACCCACCCAACCTCAACCCTTTTTTGTGCCGACGCGAATTTGCTTAATGAAATGTAAAATCCCATTCAAAGGCAACGCAAAAACTTCGGCCAGAAAGTTGGCCACTCGATTGTCTGCACTGAGAGAAATCTATCATACAAATAAAAAACTAAAATATTAAACTATTATTTTAAAAGTATTCTTATTTTTTGTTGTAAAGTATTATACTTAATTATGAGAACAACATTTCTTTAAAGTTCTCTCTGTGTAACTTACTCCAACTCCTCGTCATCGTCCTGCTGAATGGCTGGTGCTTGCTGGGATTGCTGCTTCTGTTGCTGTTGCTGCTGCTTATCGCCAGCGGCGATACTGTTCTCGTAGAAAACATCATCCTCCTTGGACTCGTCGTCGTCGCCCAGGCTGAGGCTCTTATCTTCGTCATCGGCCTCCTCATTGCCCTGGACACTGGCCGGGGGATTGCTGTTGGTGTTGCCGTTGCTGCTGCCATCACTGCTGTTGTCCTCATCATCGTTGTTGATATCCTCGGCGTCCTGGCTGTCCTGGCTATCCTGCTGGTTGACGCGCCGCTTGGCCTCCTCCTCCAAGTACTTGGCCTTGGTGATTATCTCATCGCTGGGAAACGATTTTGGGGAGAAATGGGAGGTCGGTTAGTTGGTAATGCCGAGGGGCAAAGGTTTCAATTTAATTGGCTCATCGGGCTCAGCCAAGGAGCCAGAGGAGTCTCCGCTTACCGATTCTTGTGTAGCTCCTTCTTCGACACGCACACGGCACTGTACTCGTCCTCCAGGAGGCAAATTTCACGTTTCTTGCAGTTCAGTGGTCGGCAAAGGTCACCTTTTTTTGATATATTTTAATTTATTAATTGGTTTGGAGGAAAAACATTCCAGTTTACTTACTCGACGGATCGTGGATCCAACGCTTGTGCTCGCCCAGGTTCTTGTTGCCATTCTGCGTGTTTTTGTTTATCTGGAAGTAGGAGAACAAATTGCATGTGAAATATTTGCTGCTTTAATTTTGTTATTTAAATGCATAAAAAATGCAAAGCTCTCTTTCCATCCCCCCTCTGACATTCAGGATATAAGCCAAACTGACGTCTGTCAAAACGCACACTTACAGCCACACAACCCATTTAGAATCACTGAGCCATGCACACGTACGGCGTACCACAGGGCGTATGCGTCATAAAAACGAGAACAATGTAGCATTTTCACGTCAGAAAGGGAAGTTCAAAATAAATAAAAATAATGCATTTGGCAGCTTGTTTGTACTTCTCATAATCATCGATATTGGAAAGTGTCAGACTAGTTCTTAGATTTCTTGAGAAGTATTAGAAACTATCTTGTGTTGGCTTTAGTTATTAAGGCCTGAAAGGATCTCCACATTCCTATACATATTTATGCGATTTAGGAAACATATGCAAATCAGACTTCAGCCTGAAAAATACAGCATATGCTCCTTGCCTTGCTTAGTTATGCGACACACCCGCTCTTGGCCGAGCAGATTTATTTTAATTTAATTCAATTCAGTACGCAGCTTACCATAAATGGTTGATTTTGCCACGCCCACTCTAACACCCACACACACACAGTCCCACTCACGCCCTGCTGGGTATTGTGAGGCGAACCGAAATGTTATTAAGTGCAATGGTGCGTATGCATAATATTTAACTTGTCTATAAAATTTATGAGCCACTAACAGCATCTGCAGCAACAAAAATAGCCACGTTGTTGTGGGGGTGTTGTTGTTATTTTTGCTACTGCCATGCCTCTGGTTAAAATGGCAAAAATAAGCTACGAAAAATAGGGAAAAATAAATTCCCGAACCATCGCGTGCAACACATTGACTTGACAGTTTTGCAATGGCTGTTGTTCTTGCAACTGATGTTGCTCTTGCTGTTGTAGTGGCTGTTGCCATTGTTGCTGCTGGCTTTGTTGCTAATGCTGCAGCTGCAGCTGATACTACTATCGCCGCTGTCAGTTGGCTTAATGAAAGCGACAGCGGCCAGGAGAAGCGGCAGCGGCAGATGCATTCTGGCCCCCGGGAGCTCCATGCAACCCATTCCAAAACAAACGCGGAATTGCTCAAGTGCGAAGTGGCAATTGCGGAACATGGCCCTCCCACATCCGGAGTCAGGACCGCCCCCCTGGACATCCTCTTGATTCCCTCTGGACAACCATTCCACCGCCGTACCCCCCTCCCGGCACCATGTCAGCCAACTGTAATGCAATAAACTCGTCCAGGACGTGGACGCAGGCAATTTGCATGCGTTAAAACGCAATTTGTGCGCGTTTCCTGGCCGCGGTTTGCACGTCCTTCGCGGCCCCTTCAACCACGCCCTCTCCACTACCCGCTTTCCGCCCAGTAGCCGGCCCCAAGCCCACTTAAAGCCGACCTCCTTTTTCACGCCGCCTGAGACTCTTCATTGGGGCATCTTCTTCGGCTTTAATTCGCCAGTGTCCTCTGATTGCGGTGCGTGTGTGTAGGGATGTGGGTAGTGTGCTTGTGTGAATGAAGGTGGATTCTGCGGACAGGTCCCCTGATTGGCCTGGTCGGGAATCCGCGCGGCCTGTCTTTGTGGCACTCCGTTTGTTGGCTTTAATTGCACTGCGTTTGCTGCGGTGGCGGTGCAGGCGTTGGCCATGCGATTGACCTTATTGCGGCTTTTGGCGGCAGCGGGCATGGCGGCAGATGGGGAAGGAAGAGCGCTGCAGCGCGTGATAAACTTGCAACACAGCTGGTCAAATCTGACCCGGTGACATCCCAGGCCAACATTACATTACAAAATGTTACATTGCACAGACAAAAAAAATAAAGGATTTTATCAGAATTTGCTTAAAAAATAGTTTAAAATAGAACTAGTAGAGCCACTTATTTAAGCAGATAATTTAATATAGTACGCAGAAGGACTATAGCAACTACTTTTATAAAAGTCATGAAAAATAATTTAGAATCCACTCACTCTGGAAGCATTTTCCCCAAGTGCAGTTGCACTAAACTGGGTCAAAACAGCAGCTGCCAGTGACTGCTGCGCTTGAAAAATAATGCAACAACACAGCCGGGCAGACAATGCAGAAACTTAAGTGCCACCCCACTTGCCACCCAACACGGTGATCCACCACCCACTCGCTGCCACCCAAAATGCTGCCAAGCGGAAGCCCGGCCGCAACTTCTTGTTCGCGTTGTTTGCAAAAGTTTGCCAGCCGTTTAACCTCTTTGCCAGATTTCTGACTGTTTAAGTGGCTGAGCTTATTAAAGCCCATTTAATTGGGCTCCTTCAGCGGCGCCCGGCAAGTGCAAGTCTTCCACTGCAAAACTTGACCCTAATTTGGTGGGGGGTGGTGGCCAAGCCACCCAACAACCCACTCAGCTTGGCGACTCCCCAACTCCTCCAAATTTCTTAGAACTCCCGGTTCCTGGGAAAATATTTTTAGAGTTCTGGCTCGGGATTCAGATAAGGGCGGCGAGCATTGTTGCTGACGCCATTTTTGCGAGGAGGAGGGACTGCCACCACAATGCAGCTGCCACGCCCCCCGCCCCAGCCGCAGTGTGGCAATCTGTCAAGCTTTAAATTGAATTTACGACTTTGTTTTCGTTGCGGGCTTCATTTCATCTTCTTTTGTTTTCTTCCAGCCAGTGCAGGCAGTGCAGTGGCGGTGCAATTTCTTACGATTCCCTTATTGTTTTCTTTATTTGCCCATCTAGAATAGCAAACATTTTTGTGGTTGCTTGGCTTTCGGACCATGGCTGCGAGGAGACTGCCAATTTTGGTTGCATTATGTAAATGTAATTTTTAAGTTGGGGGGCAACATTCCAAGGCAGTGCCAAGAAAAGCCACGGAGAGAAATTATTTTATTTGAAATGTGGTAAGAACTTGTTAATACTTTCATATTTTTTCAATGTTTTAATAGATATCCTTTCCCCAATCAGGTTTGTCCTCACGGTTGACAACTTTAATCTGATTTGGGATCGTATTTTTTCCGTGCACGTTCACTGCATAACCCCCGAAAATCGATATTTCCCACTGACGGCTTAACCCCTTTATCTAGGCGAACCCAAATCCTTTGTGCTCCATTTAATTTCCACTCATGCATTAATTCATACAGATTTCAGTGGAAGGAATCGAATCGAATCGAATTGAATCGATCGATGGTCATACATTTTCTATCCCGGTGGCCCATAACTCATTGCCGTTCTACTTGCCATACCAACGTACAATCAACGGCTCCCCAAAAAAGAGCTCCAGAAAGGAAATAAAAATTCGCATTAAATCGGCATTGGGCGATGCCATTGCCATTACCATCTATTTTGGAAGTATAAATTGGGAGGGGGAATTTCGAATTGGGCATTGCTCGCTCGAAATTGTTGTAAATTATTCAGCGGACATCAAATGACTGGCAATGAAGCGGTGGGGCTCGTCCAACCAGACAGCCAATCAATATTATATGAACGCGGTTTGCGGGGAAATGTTCTCATATTGCGGCAATTAGGGATCAGGACAAAGTAGTACCAGGAACCGGAGCAGGAGCAGCAGGACACGGAGACCTATCCATTGATATGCTAAATACAGAACCCCACAAAATGACCATCTGACTGACTGACTTCTCGGTTCCTAAATTATGCACTTCACTTGAAAAATGCATTAGCCCGAATCCCGGGATGGCAGATGGCTGCCTGGGAATTTATGTATATGTAACAGGGTTCTATCATGCAAAAATATATATGTACGGATGTCTATGTAGCTGTCCCCGAGCCTCCCAATGGCTATCATCCGGGGCAGCCTCAGTGGGGGCACATAAATTGCACATTTTCGTGCACACAAAATGGTAAATCAATTTCTATTACTATTATGGCCCGGCGTATAGCTCTAAGCCGGCTGTCCGGATTTCGGGCTGGCACATTTCCGGGCAGAGTCCGGCCAAAGTCCCTGGCAGGACGCTGGCAGGAAGCTCAACGGTCGGCGCAACGCAGCGTGCGAATCCATCAATATATAGTTTTGGCTTTGGCTTTTGGCTCAAAGTTTTCAAGTGTCTTTCAGACCAGGAAATTGCATTCTTGTGGGCCAAATGTGTCACAAGGAGAGAGTGGGCTGGCATCGGCAGGTCGAATCCCCTGGGATGGGAAAGTTAATTGCTATCGTAGCCTCTCCGGCCCCGCACTTTTCGATTACACAGTTGTAGAGTCATTAAAAGCCCTGTCACATGCATAAATTACACAATAATCTCATTTTAATGGTTAATTAAATTACCATAACGGTCAGCTGTCAATCTGCTGACATAAATAAAAAGGAATTGGTCGCCGAGTGATTCGTTAAAATGGCAAAAAAAAACTGTGGAAAAATTGCAAAATTGCCGTGCAAATATTTGTGTCAGAAGCAATAAAGATTATGATGCGATTCGTGCATTAAATAAACCATGGCGTGTCCCTGGAGATGTTCCGTGCCTGCTTCCTGCAGGACTATAAACATGCAGCACCTGGCACGTGCTCCAGGCCTAGATGCCCTGGCATGCGGCATGTGGCATGAGCTACGATGCATGAGGCATGTGTGTGGGCGTGGCCCTGGGGCGTTATGTTTATGCATCATAAATGCATTTTGCGGCTTCAGCCGGAGGAGTGAATTCGGGATGGGCCAGTTCGGTGCCACACACCGCATTGCAGTCATAAAACATTTGCAGCAGCAGCGACTACAAAATAGGGAAAATTGCAACAAATTGCAACTGCTAACAAACGACAACATCACATGGTAGTGGTACAGTGTTCTGGCCAACAAAGGCCACTAAAATGTGCTTACCTATGTGGAAGAGATACATCGCCAGATACATAGTTGCAATTCGTATTTATAAACATGCTAGGAAAAAATGAGCAGAGCCAGAGCCACAGCCAGCCAGGAGGAAAACCCCCTAAGGGGAGGAAACCCCAGCCAGGAGGAAAAGCCGCACTCTCGGGAGGATTGTGTTCTGCGGTGAATG